AAGAGCGATGAATTACTAGACCATAGGCTCTGTGCTCCCCTCTAGCAAGTACTTCTGACTTCATCTTATGACTTCACGGCAGTTTTAAGTAAGAATAACTAGCATACTAAAATAATTAAACTGAGTCTCTCCATATATTGCTGACCTGGAGTATTCTGTATTCTGTGATAAATCCTCAACTGTTTCCAGCATTTTTTATGAAAATGTTCAAACAGCAAAGTTGAAAGAATTTTGCAGTGGATACCCATTCACTTACCTAATTATCCATCAATCTATCTCAATTTTTGATGCATTTTCAATAAGGTGCAGACATCTCTGCCCATCCTTCTAAAAATCCTCAGCATACATATCACCAGCTACAGTTCAGTATTTTTTATATAAAATTTACATACAATGAAATGCATAGTGTACATTTGCTAAGTTCAGACAAATGTATACACCTGTGTATCCCAGGCCCCTATTAAGATCGAGACTATTATCACCACCCCAGAAAGTTCCATCATATGCTTTCTCAGTCAGTCTCCACCCTGCCCACAGATTTGCCTCTTCTAGAACTTGTCTCAGGTGGCAAATGCTCTGTATTTTCCATAAGCCTAGAATCTTAGAACTCAAAATGGTTTGTCTAAAAGGGCAGTTTTACAGTACTGTGAAGATGTAAGGCAAATTCTCTAAACAACGTTGAGGGATTTTGCTTTCCTTTAGCTTGATTCGATATAAACTGAAATATATTTGGTATTGCTCCCAAACGCAAAGGACATGCTTTTCTGTTCCTAGACCACAAGTAGCAGAAGCTCTCAAGAGCTCCAAACAGTAATGGCAAGAGTCTCATCTTGGACTTTGCCTTAGCTTTCTCAAGGCAGGTAAAACCTGTTATCTCCAAGTTTAGGACCTCACCTTCTTTTTACATTATTCTGCAGAAGAAAAAGACCTTTATTACCTCCATATTTTGCACACAAGTTACAAATGAAAGGTACTCCGTTCCCATATATACTTTTTCCTACTGTTCTTTTCAAAACTCCGTTATTGTTATTTAGTGGAAAGTGAGGAGTGGGGAGCCCAAGAGCCCCGTTAACCTGGACGTTTCCTATTTTGTCATTCTTTTTCCAGAAAAGTATGAGAACTAAGGAAAATTCTGAAACTTCTTTTGCCCAAGGGAAGGAGAACCCTATTTATCATGAATTACCTATTACTATAGATACAATGACCCTTGAAAGGGAAATTAGTTTTCTTTTGTAGGGTACTTTACATCAGGAGCAAGTAATTGCCTTGCCCACAAGTAACTGTTTAACTAATAATGACTGGTTCCCAAAGAGTACCTGAACTGAGCTTCTGTTGATGATGAAAGGCTGAACAACTACAGAGGTGGTGTGCCTTAAAACGAGTCACTGCCATCCCGGCACGTCTACAATACAAAAGCAGCAACCTATGGCATGCTAATTAAAGAATACTTTCTTCTTGCCCTGCTTGGTCAATGTCATGGATTGAATTGTGCCCCCAAAAGCATCTGTCAACTTGGCTGGGTCATGATTCCCAGTATCGTATGATTGTATACCATTTTGTAATCTGATGTGATTTCCTTATGTGTTGTAGAGCCTACCACTATGATGTAGTAAGATGGATTAGCAGCACTTATACTGATGTCTACAAGATTATATAGTGTCTTAAGCCAATCTCTTTTGCGATATAAAAGAGAGAGGTGAGCAGAGAGACATGGGGACCTCATACCACCAAAAAAGCAGTGCCAGGAGCACACGCATCCTTTGGACCTGAGGTTCCTGTGCAGAGAAGCTCCCAGACCAAGGAAGATTGATGGTGCAGACCTTTCTCCAGAGCCGACAGAGAAAACGTTCCCTTGGAGCTGACACCCTGAATTTGGACTTGTAGCCTACTGGACTGTGAGAGAATAAAACTTCTCTTTGTTAAAGCCATCCACTTGTGGTATTTCTGTTATAGCAGCACTAGATGACTAAGACAGTCAACCTCATTCAGCTGAGTTTCACAATCCAGAAACTGCCAGAGTGATAAGAAAAATGGAGTGCCTATACATTCTAATCCTGACTTGTGCACGGTTTTTCATCTCAAGCTGGCTAGACATTTTTCAGAGTAAAGGATAGTGGACAGTGTTTTGAAGTTCAAGGAGAATAGAGAACAGTCTCATCCATCATTTAGCTTAGTATCCTATCCTGAGATTAATATAAAAATTACTTTTTCCTAAAACAAGCTCCATGACCCATCAATGAATGAAGGTCAGATAGGATATTCTAGAATGCTGTGATCCTGAATATCCATGTGTCCCCTCACCCTCTTGATTAAGAAGTATGTATCAGATGTCTACCACATGTTAGACACTGAAACAGTGGGAGCTAGAGCAGAATCCCTGCCTTATGGAGCTGGCAGTCTAGAGGGCGCGACAGGCATCAGGTACTCACAACATAATTAAAACAGCCAAGTGCTATGATGTCTTGGAAGAAGTACAACCAGAATGCTCCTTAGACGGAAGGATGGCAAGATGACATCTTCCAGACGTTGGACATGTTCTCAGGAGGGATCAGTCCCTGGAGAAGTACATCATGCTTGGTAAAGTACAGGGTTAGCAAAAAAAAGGAAGACCCTCAACGAGATAGACTGACACAGTGGCTGCAACAATCGGCACAAGCGTTAACGATTGTGAGCATGGTGCAGGACCGGGCAGTGTTTTGTTCTGTGGTGCATAGGGTCGCTATGAGTCGAAACCCACTTGACGGCACCTAACAAAAAGTGCTATGAGAAACAGGAACATGGTGGCTTGTAAGAGCATGTAACATAGGAACCTGACCTAGCCCTCTAAGTCAGAAGGCTTCTCTGGGGAAGTGATATTTGAGCTGAGCTCTGAAGGGGTTCCCTGAGTCAATTGGGGAAGGCTGCAGTTCAGGGCAAAGGGAACCTGCACTGGGAAACGCCAGGAGGCAGAGCAGAGTATACCAAGCCCAACAAAATCAAAGCAGTCCCTGTGGCCAGAGTGCAGTGACTGGTCAGGGCATTTTTAGCTGGAGCTGAAAGTAAGAAGCAAGCAGGGGCTGGACCACCCTGTGCCTTGTAGGCCATGGCAAGGTGTTTGGTTGTTATAGCAGAGGAAAGAGAAAGTGTTTAAAAAAGTGACATTTTTCATTTGAAAAAAAATTACAGCAATACAGATCAAAGGGAGACCAGAATTAACATGTAGATAAAATCTATTTTACTCCCAGTTTCTACCTCCAATCAGACATGCTCTTCTGGGGAAAAAGTTCCCTAGTTGGAACCTTCAGATGATAAATGGAATACACTGGGAGCCAGCCTCTTCGAGGACTGGGGGTGCTCTGCAGCTGTACGCAGCTCCCCTGGAACCCCATCTTGGTCACACCTTGAGAAATGCTCTCTATATGCAACCCCATACTCTGTGGTCACACGGGGTTGCCATGAGTCAGAACAACACAGGAGATTAAAAAGACATTTCACCTGATGACATGTAAACAGTGAACATTCCTTTTATCAATTCTAAATTTACAGTTCAGAGTATTACACTTACTCAGTGTTGAGCTGCTATGCTAAATTGTAATTTTAGAAAGAATTAAATGGCAACGGCTCCATTACCTAGCAGCCCCCTATTAGGCAACCTCAACTATCACAAGAGACAAGGGAACACCTTAACATTTAACAGGTAAACCAACACAGTATAAGCTAACAGAATGTCACACTCCCCTAAACTGTTAGCTGCAGCAGACAGGAGCATCTAAGAAGGCAAAACCAAAAACCAAACCCAGTGCCGTGGAGTCCATTCCTGCTCCTAGCAACCCTGTAGGACAGAGTAGAACTGCCCCATAGGGTTTCCAAGAAGCAGCTAGTGGATCTGAACTGCCGACCTTTTGGTTAGCAGCCAAGCTCTTAACCACTGAGCCACCAAGGGCTCCCAAGAAGACAAATATAAAAAAACCCAAAAAACAAAAATCCACACCATTTAGCTTGGGGGTAAGCATGACCTTACCCAACAGAAATTATTCATAAGCTGTTATTTCCCAAGAAGTTTATACTCAGTAGGGAAAGGTTTATTGCATTTGAGAAAAACCTTTAAAAAAACAAAATGCTTTGCAGTTAAGCTATTTAGAAAATTAACTTATGTGGAACTCCTCTTGACCAAGTAAGATGGATAAGCGAGGGATTACTTTACCTGTAAAACCCTCAAGTGAAGTTGCTGAGTCAAGGTAGCCTGCTAAGTGTTTTATCAGCGAAGAGACTAATTGACTTAACCTGCCACAGAAAAAGTGCTACCGAGAAACTTCGACAAGAGAAGACCAAATTGGATGGACTTTAAAAAACAAACTTTATTCCAAACAGAATTACCAAAAAAACATATTAACTCTGAAACATTTAACAGATTTCATTTAAACTCATATAGTCAGAGAATTCAAATTAGCAAACAAAAATAGCTTTGTGTGCTTAACCACTTTTAATTATGGAACTTTAAGAAACACGCAGAGACCCCCACACAATTCGGAAGCCATTTAGGCAAGCAAATATTAAGCAAAAAGCAGCATTAAAAACTAAAAAATCTTCAAATATAGGGAGAATATCTGGTCAAATCTTTGATATGTATTTATTTGCACATGTGGAAACAAATATTTAAAAAAACCGAGACTGCTTATCCTTTCCTCAAATGTAATCTCCCTCTAGCCTTCATTCTATCACTGCACACTCCAGTACTTCAACTACACTAAACAAGTGTTAGTTCAACATAACTGACCTAACGTGAAGCAACCCTTCTAGATCTCATTTGATACATCCTGTCTACCACCCATGATTCCCTTGCATGTTTGCACTGCTTTATACTGAGTATTACCATAGTAATTGAGCTTGGAAATTTCAGGTCTCTAAAGATGACTATATATACACTATTCTGCTATATTGCACAATTCACAATATACAGCATGTGATTATATAAGCAACCGTAAGATGACTATGACTACTGAGACAAAACATCAACTTTGTCCCATTCACAAAAAAAAAAAAAAATTGTCACCATATAAAGGCTGTGTTTACTATGTGGTGCAGTCCTGAGGGCTCATACCACCTCTAGGTGTGTTAAATACAGAATCTACAACATATTTCTAGTAGCATCAGATATGAAGTACAGGAGGCAAAACCCAAAGTGCCCCATACTTACAAGTCATCTGTGCTACGTTATGTAACAGAAAGGCCACTTTTAAAGCTTTTCAGGTAAAGTTATTCAATCATATTTGCCTTTTCAAAATTATTACACTAATTTATACTGAAAGTAAAAACTATTGTTAGAATCCCTTCCTTACTAGTAACACATTATAACTTATTCTAAAATTCAGACAAAGCAGTTGGCTACCACAAATACTGCTGCACCTTTTGTCAAATTTATGTCTAGAGGACAACACAAACCATCCTTGGTAATGCATTTGCAGTTTGGTCTTCAAAAGCTATAAAAAGTGAAAAGGAAATGCAAAAATGTTATAAGTTAAAACCAGTAAAAATATTTAATAATTGTTTTCAATGCCACATATTTGACACAGCATAAACCAAAGCATTCCTAGAATTTTCACTTCACTTGTATTTCACAAAAGTGCTTTAGAACTTAGATTTCTATCACCTGCGTGGAGTGTAAAGACAAAAGGAAGCCCCATAGAACCGAAGGCCCAAGGAGTCCATGCCCAGGGCCAGGGCATAAACCTGGGCTAACTCACCTGCCTGTGCTGGGCCACCCAGACTTACCTGAGTACTCAGGGGCTCACCCATGTGAATGAGGGGGTCAGTGCCTTCCTCATTCACTTCGGAAACTAGGCCAAAGGACGCTTCCTGTTTTCAGAAATCCTTAAATCTGCACCTTGGTTTCTAAAGTAAACTGCCATTTCCAGCCCATCACTGTCAAGCAGAGCTGTTGTAAAGCTATTTGGCTTCATTAATGCCAGGCAAATGCTTGTTGTTTCCTCATCCTTTACAGTTGGAAGAAGGGCATTCACTTTATCAACTAGCCATACTGCATTTAGAGGTAAATCGCTTTTTTGGACTATCTGCCCAGAAACTTCGAGTAAACTACCGATTGAGGCTCTGATTTTATTTTGGTGGGTATATGCATATTCACATGCAGTTACCCAGAAAGGTGAACATGTAGAACTAAGAAATCAAACTATTCTAGACCATGTCAAATGCTAGAAAACAGTCTTAACTATATAATATTTACAGAAGTGGGTTAAAAAAAAATTGGTACACCATTTTTCCAGAATGTTTCTCGTGTGTTGCTATTCAATCAGTGCATGAGTCACTTTGACCTGAAGAAAAATTTTAAACTCTGATTCCTCTGACAAATAAACTTCTGTCTGTGTTAGGTAAGGGACCAGTGTGCTATCTGGCTATTACAAATGCCTAAAATTTAAAATCACTCTTCAAATGTCTTGTTATAGATCTTATAATCTCAAATTTACCATTTTAATATCACAATTATAAAATTGGGTTTCCAAAATGTCAAAATCCTAATAGCAGTCTCTATTTCCAAGAGTAAAATAAGGATAGATAACACTGAGGTGGAAGCTATCCTGAGTGGTTTTGGTTTTTCTTCCTGGAACATTCAGAAATGGGGGAGGGGGAAAAGGGGGAACCTGGGCCCTTATTAAGACTTCCAAAACAAAATGTTATGGAAACGGGTTTTCTTTTTAAGGAGAGTTCAAGAGAACAGGATATTGGAATATAACAAAGGAAAAAAAAAAAAAAAAAAAAAAAGCCCAAAATTATCAGTGAAAAAAACCAAAAACCCAAAGCACTTTGCTAAGTTGGCACCAATAATTCAAAGAAACAGATAAACAGAGTTTGATCTACATGCAGTTAATGTAGAACTTCTTAACAGGATGAAACTCCTATAACAAAACTTAAGTTTCCTTATCTTTTGGCAATGAAATAAGTGAAATCAACATAATATTCTGGAAGGGTTTCAGGTCACACCCAGAATTAGAAAGAAAACTTTCAAACCTAGAAAGCAAAACATGAACTTTAATTAGCTGCCTGATTCTATCAAGTCTAAATAGTCTAGATAATGACCATCTCAAGAGGTGCTTAGTTTCAATGCTAATGCAAGCAATTTATCATGAAAAGCCTACACCTAGTAGTTTTTCCTTCTGTGTTCTGCTCCTTTGTCCTACCCATGTATATGCTCAGGTTTACCCAAAACTACCCTCTGCAATTCCTCAAAAGAGCCGAGAAGCAAGCTATGGAGTAACAAAAATAAGCCTGAGAAGTCAACAGGCTACAAAAGCCTCTTCTCTAGCTAGTCATGGCCACTTAGATGTTTCAATGCAGAGAATTAAAGACTGTTTTCGAAAAGAAAAAAATCATATCTTGCCTATTAGGTTCCCTGTCAAAGGCCATCAGATAGACAGCTATTAATCAGATCATTAGCCTAAAGCTCTCAGGTAATGATAGAAAAAAAAAAACCCTTTAAATTTCCTATTGAAACGTTTGATTCTGTTATTGTTGGTGCTTAAGGAAAACAGCTATGCCCATAATTCATGGTGCCCTGGACTTCTGACACCAACTTGTATTTGGCCAGTTGGGAACCAGGCCAAACTGAATTCTTCTTAGAAGGTCTAGTCAGCTGATAAATGGCACTTAACTGATGATTTCTTTCATATAACCTTTAATAAGAACTCGTAAGTTGCATTGATTATACCCCATGAGATGAGGGACCGATGGTAGTTCAGATGGGCACCTCTGAAAAGATTTGTCAATTTCCTGTCACGTTCTACCCAGATTTTTTTGAAAACCCTGGGGAAAGACTGAAATTCCCCACCAATTTGAGACTGCATGCGTGTTTTTACAACATTAACTGGAAAAAACAAGAATCCCAACATGGCACCCAAGAGGCCTCCACAGATAAAATCATTGACCAAATGAGCACTGTGAGACGTTGCAGTAGGCAAATACTCCTTAACGGGGCCTCGAAGGCCAAAAAAGAGGGCATTGCTGGATCCATTACGGAGAAGAATGGGCACCAAGCCTCGATAATATTCTCTAATTCCATGACATTTCAGTGCCTTGAAAGCCTGGTAAGTGTTTGTAAATTTGTCATGATGCTTGTGGTCTTGTAGCAATGTTTGAACTCTTTCCAACGGAGTGAAAATTGCTTCTGTTGTCCCTGCGAGTACTGCTGCCATGCTGCAAGTTGCAAACTCTGGAGTACTGACATGTTTACGGAGAAGGTAAGATAAATCCTCATACAGACCGAACATAAGTGCCAGTGTAGTTGTCTTCTGCATCAATGGGGGAAGGATTCCTCGATATAAGTTTCGAAAGCCATCCCTCCTCAGCTGAAGTACTGCATCCCGGGTTTTGATTCCATACAGCTGTTGCCGGAAAAGGACTTTCTGAATGGGAAACGTGATTACTATGTTGTTGAAAGCTGCACAGCAGCCACACAAGTAATGCTTCATTTGACCAACATTTGTAATGTGAGGTGATATATCCTGTTTTGAAGATGTTAGGATTGGTGGCCTCTTTTCATGAGCTTCTGAATCCATCATGTTGCTTAAGATCTTTCTTGTTCATGAAGGATTTTTTTTAACCTACAAATAATAAATGAGATTGAGTAAACCTCTATATAGAGAGCTGAACACATGGATTTTTCCCCCTAATCCTCCCCCCCAATTTCTGAACACTATTACATTCTTCCTTTTAGAGTAGCTCAGTGGTTCTCAAAAGTACTATCTGAGGATCCCTGGAGGTAACTGATGCTCTTTTGGGGGTCTGGCAGGTCCTCCCTTTTCCAACTACATACCTGCGTGAGGCTGGATCTTCTGCATATACTTCAACCAAAACAACACAGCACAACAAACTGAATGCAGGAGCAGATATGAGATTCCAGCTGTCTTTTAAGACACACAGTAAAGAGATTTAAGAAACTGTAAAACATACTCTTCTCATTTTTTTTTTGGAAAATATTTTTCATGTGTTTATGGGAGAACCTCAGAAAAATTCCAAGATTCTTTGACACTATGTAATATTTTTCTTTCTTTCTTGTGTGAAACAAATGGAATTAAACTTTTTTTAAGTATGCTACACTACAACCTGTGTGTCCCTTTCCCAGAAGACAGAACACACCAAGAAGAAAAAGTAACATCTGTACAATCTCTGGCCCAAAGCCTCTTTGTGTGGGGTTTGAGTTGGTTAGTTGTCCATGTTTCTACTAAACTTGTCCTCAGTTGAGAAGAGTTATGACTAGACATAATTGCAGGCCCAAAGTCTGCCCTAAGAAAGGTATAAAAGCATCAGAAAATTTTTCTCCTCACTGAAAGTCACCTGGTTGTATCCACACAACATGACAGTGGCAGGGCTCAAACCTTTCATTGACCACCCCAGCCATGACCAGGTGAGCCATACCACCTCAGGGTCCAAAACTTTCTGTTCATTTGAAGACACCTCACCTTTGACAGAGGGCTGGAAGCAGTGTGACATACCAGAATGCTGCTTAGTACTACTGTGGATGGGGAATAAAGGGAAAGGAAAAACTGTTCCCTGGTATTCTGAAAATTTGTTTCACTGCAATTTAAATAATCAAAATAAAGGCTGGCTCAGAGAGCGAAGTTATTTCTCATTCTGGCAGATGCTAAAGTAGTTAGATTATGAAGTCACTTGCACGTGAGATGCCAAAATTCTTGAAGTTTGGCTGCTTGCAGCTCCACTACCAACAACAACAAAAAAGCCATTTAAATGTAAATTCACAAAAGAAATGTGTTTATTACTTAAGTATTAAAAAACAACAACAACAAACCCATTGCCATCGTGCAAATTCTGACTCACAGCGACCCTATAGGACAGAGTAGAACTGCCCCATAGGGTTTCCAAGGTGCAGATGGTGGATTCGAACTGCAGCCGGGCTCTTAACCACTATGCCACCAGGGTTCCACACTTACTTGATTAGAGGAAAAAAAGTTGTAAATCACTTAAATGTGCAGACACCTCCTCCTCCAGTCTCACTGCCCTAGGTCATGCCCTCACTGTCTCTTGCCTCAACTAGTGCAAAAGCCTCTACCAGTCAACCTGACTCTAGTCAGATTCATTCTACCTCCCTCTCTGCCTCACACCCTTCCAACTTATCATTTAAAAAATACTCAAAAGGATAGAACACGTGATTAAGTGGAAAAAAAAACAAAACAAGGAGTACAAGATTTTAGAATCTTCTAAGATCAGCAGAGTTACCTCAGTGTTTTGAATAGCTGCACAGTATTCTAGCAAATGGACATATTGTATGTAATTTATCCTGTCTTCTACGTATGGTCACTGCTTTTTTTGTTGTTTCTGCTTTTGCAATGGGCCCTCTCACAAGTGTATCTATCTTAGGGTAAATCTTTAGAATGAGGTTGCTGGCTCAATGAGTAATACATTTTAAGTTTTGATAGCTACGCCAAATTGCCCCAAGAGAGATGATGACTTACATTTCCATTAAGTGTATGTGACTACCGATTTCTCTCTACCATTGTCAGCACTAGGTATTAAACTGCGATTTCTGCCAATCTGATCAAAGAAAAATCTCATTTTAATTTACCATTTAAAATTTTTGAATAAAATTCAGCATTTTTCAATTTTATTGACCATTTACATTTCTTTTACTGTAAACTGAGTACATGTACTTTGCTCATTTTTCTGTTGGTACTTACTTTTCTTACTGATTTGTAAGAGTGTCTTTATAAATGAAAAAAATCAATCCTACTCATATTATGGTAAATTTCTCCCCAATCTGTCTATACCATTTTTGTGATACTGAAGTTCTTAATATTAAACCTATCTTTTTTCTCTTGGCTTCTAGAGTCTATGTCTTTCTCAGAAGGCCTTCATTACTCCAAAATTATGAACAAGTCATCTATACTTCGTTCTACAACTCTAAATAGTTTTATCAATCATCTGTACGTTAATCTTTCTGGAATTTCAGTCTAAGGAGTGAGGCAAAGATAAGACGCTGCCAACATCACTGACGGATGACCTCTTTTTGTCACTGGTTTGCAATGCATCTTTGTCATATTCTACATACCCACAGGCATTTACATTTATTTCTACTATCCATTCTGTTCCATCAATTGCCTAGTATTTCTTCTCTTTTACCAACCTGTTTTCACCTATTATAGCATCAAAATATATTTCATTATCCAGTAGGGCCTCCCTCTCTATGCTTTTTATCAGAATTATCAGTTACCTGGCTCTCACACTTTTTCTAGGTAAAATTCAGTACTGCATTTTTGTCACATTCTTCCCAACAATTCTGTTGGTATTTTAGAGTGGAAGCAACTTTATAGATAAATTTAAAAAGAAATGTCATCTTTCCGAAACTGAACCTTACTTTACAAAGTTCCTGTTTACTTCTTTACTACTCCCCACCCCCTGCTTCTTCCTATTTACTTGGCTTTTTACAAACCTTAGTAGTATTTCAAATTTTCTTCTTCAGTATTTCTTATCCCTAGGTATTTTACCTTTTCAGATGCTATTATGAATGCGCTTTTTCCTTCTATCATTTTGTAACTAGTTTCTGTCTCCATAAAAAAGATAACAATTCTTGTGTATTAAAATTAGAACCAGCCACCTTCAAACTGAATTTTCTTATTCTGTTTTTTGAAAAATTTGCTTCACTTTACACAATATAAAATATCATTTGCAGATAATTCCACCTTCTCCTTTATAATGTGTATTTTCCTTTCACCTGTCTGAATGCTTGGCAAATACTTCCTGACAAAAATTCAATTATGGTGATAGTGAACATCCTTGTATTTTTTCTGACATTTGCAGGAATTCTCCTAGGATTACCATTAAGCATAATGCTGGCTTTTGATCTGAGAAACAGGAAGTTCTTGTCATCTGAGTGTTCATAACTCAAGTCCTGGCAGTTACAAGGTTACACAGGGAAACAAGTCATCACGAAACAAAAATATCCCCTGATGAATGGACCCTCATAAAATCTGTTCCCACTCAAGTATCCCTCCTTATTTACCTCTAACTGATCCCTGTATATCTTCAGGATTGTGCTGCAAACAAACATGAAGTGAATAATGTCTTCATAATGCTGTTATAATTGCATCAGACAAATTATGCTACAAAACCCACAACCTCATTCTACATTCATTCTAAGAATTAGTAAAGCTGCAATCATAACTGAAACCCCTGCCTTCCACTATTTACTAGGAAATTGTTTCCCACTTAAAAAGGATTCCATTATTCTAGTATTAATCATCAACTAATAATAAAGGCCTCTTACAGTGTTGTCAAACACATGAAGGGAATATACATTAATTCCTGCTTCACTAAGCTTCAACCACCTCCGCCCCCTCACACCAACACTAAAATCAGTAATACAGCTTGAACTTTGGTCAAGTGCTTTTTGGAAGCTACTTAAGTGATTATATGGATTTTGAAGATACAGCCAGCATAATGTTTAAGTGCACAGGCTCTGGAACCTAAGTCCCTAGGTTCAAATCCTGGCTCCACCACATATCTGCTACGTGACCTTCAGCAAGTTACTCAAGGTCTCTATGCCTCAGTTTCCTTGTCTACAGGGATATTACCTACCTCACAGGTGGGCTCAATTCACTGAGTTAATTACACGTAAAGCACTAGGAGAATGTCTGAAGCATAGCAGGTGCTCAACAAAGGTTAGCTATTATTATTGCTCTTTTTTGGTATCATTTATTTGGTGTATTACATTAGGATATTCCTTGATAATGAACTACCCATGTAATATGGGGATGAATCCTATCTGGCCATAATAGTGTAGTCTTTTAATATTCTGCTAAACCCCATTTGCTAATACTTTATTTTAAAATTTCACATTACTATTTGTAATAGATCTAGTTGGCAATTTTAGTACTATTTTTGTCAAGTCCCAATGTCAATGTTCCGCAGGCTTTGTAAAAAGAATCTTTGATTTTTTTCCCCCTTCGTTATGCTAGAACAATTTAAATGGTATCAAAATTATCTTTTCTGAGACAGTAAAAGAATTCACCTGTAACACCATCTGGGCCTGATGTTTTGGGGGATGGTAGCTTTTTGATAATTTTCCCAATTTCTTCCATTGTTACTGATCTGTTAGGTTCTCTCTTCTGGAGTAAATTTTGATAACTGGATTTCCTTAAAAAAAAAAAAAAAAGGTTATTTTCATGTAGTCATGTAAAGCAGTTGGTTTTTAAAAAAAAATTTTTTTTTATTGTACTTTAGATGAAGGTTTACAGAACAAATAGTTTCTCATTAAACAGTCAGTACACATATTGTTTTATGACATTGGTTAACAACCCCACGACACCTCAACACTCTCCCTTCTCAACCTTGGAGGACCTTTTTTTGGGTGAAAATATACATAGCCAAAGTTACACCATTTCAAAAGTTTCTGCATGTACAATTCAGTGACATTGATTACATTCTTCCAGTTGTGCTGCTATTCTCACTATCCTTTTCCAAATTGTTCCATCACCATTATCTTCAACTTACTGCCCCCTAGGCTTACCATCAAACCTTTGAATTGCTGTTGTCAATTTGATCTCACGTAATTTTTTTTGTACCTTACATGAAGGTTTGCAGGATAGTTTCTCACTGAACAGTTAGTACACATACTGCCCTGTGACAATGGTTAACAACCCCATGACATGTCAACACTGTCCCTTCTCAACCTTGGGTTCCCTATCACCAGCTTTCCTGTCCCCTCCTGACTTCTAGTCCTCACCCCTGGACTGCTGTGCCTCATTAGTCCCATTTTGTCTTATGAGGCTGTCCAATCCTCAGCTGAACAGTGAACTTCGGGAGTGACTTTCCCACTGAGCTAAAAGGTGTCTGGGGGCCATACTCTTGGGGTTTCTCCAGTCTGTCAGGCCAGTAAATCCGGTCTTTTTTTTTGTGAATTAGAATTTTGTCCTACATCCTTTTCCAGCTCTATCCAGGACTCTCTATTGTGATCCTGGTCAGAGCAGTCAGTGGTGGTAGCTGGGCACTATCTAGCTGTACTGGACTCAGTCTGGTGGAGGCCATGGTAGCTGTGGTCCATTAGTCCTGTGGACTAATCTCTTCCTTGTATCTTGTTCTCTTCATTCTCCCTTGCTTCCGAAGGGGTGAGACCAGTGGAGTATCTTCGACGGCTGCTCACAGGCTTTTAAGATCCCAGATGCTACTCACCAAGGCAGAAGGTAGAACATTGTCTTTATAAACCGTGTTAAGCCAATTGAGCTAGATGTTACCCGAGACCATGGTCCCCACAGCCCTCTACCCAACAATTCAGTCCCTCAGGGAGTTTGGGAGTATCTATGGAACTTCCATGACCTTTCCTTGTACAAGTTGTGCTGGCATTGCCAGTATTGTGTACTGTCTTACCCTTCACCAAAGTTACCACTTATCTATTGTCTATTTAGTTCCCCCACCCCTCGTAACCAACAAAGATTGTTTCCTTTTGTGTGTAAACTTTAACATGAGTTTTTACGGTAGAGGTCTCATACAATATTTGTCCTTTTGTGACTGACTTATTTCGCTCAGCATAATGTCCTCTAGTTTCATCCATGTTACGAGATGCTTCACAGATTCATCACTGTTCTTTATTGTTGCATAATACTCCATTGTGTGTATGTACCATAGTTTGTTTATCCATTCATCTGTTGATGGGCATCTAAGTTGTTTCCATCTTTTTGCCATTGTGAACAGTGCTGCAATGACTATGGGTGTGCATGTGTCTATTTGTGTGACAGCTCTTACTTCTCTAGGATATATTCCTAGGAGTGGGATTGCATTTTGTATTGCTCTTTTTTGTGGGGCTGACGTTTTCTTTGCTCCTCTTACTCTCCTGTGCCGAGTTCCTTTTGTTTGTGGGGTTTTGTTTTTACTGAGACTTTGTTTTTCTTCTTTATTTTGACAAGTAAGTTTGTTAACTTTCTTTGTGGTCACCTTGAAATTTATCTTTACCTTCCTATCTTCTTCTACCAGTCTATTATTACTTGGTATCGCCTTGCCTTCCTCTCCATTAGAAGGTTCTATACCTACACCGTTTATTCCCTTTTATTGTTCTGATGCTGTTGTCATTTACAGATTAATCTCTCTGGTTCCCTGTTGTAATTCTTTTGGTTTTGCATAGTCCTTAAGAGTTCATTTCCTAGGTTGGTACATGGCTAGTACAAACCTGTGTCCTATATTCAGCCTGTGGTCTGATGTTGTTTGTTCTCAGATCGAAGGACTCCCTTTAATAAGTCTTGTAAGTTTGGTTTGGTTTTTACATAGTCCTTTAATTTCTGTTTATCCAGAAATGACCTAACTTCACCATCATATCTGAATGAGTTTTGCAGGATATATTATTCTTGGCTGGCAATTTTTTTCTTTCAAGGTTTTATATATGTCATCCCATTGCCTTCTCGCCTGCATGGTTTCTGCCAAATAATCCGAGCTTAGTCTTATTGTTTCTCCTCTGTATGTGACTTTGTTTTTGTCGAGCTGCTCTCAGGATTCTTTTGTCTTTGGTTTTAGCGAATGTGATTATAATATGCCTTGGTGATTTTCTTTTGGTATCTATCCTATACGGGGTTTGTTGAGCTTCTTGGATGGTTGATTTACTTTCGCTGATCCTGTCTTCCATTGTTTCAAACCTGCTCCTCAGCCCTTCTATGACACTATCCATTTATGAAATCTTGTTATCTTTTGGATTTCTAATTGTTGTTTTTGTATGATTTCTAGTTGTAAATTTATTTTAGCATTTTATTCCTGTATTATTTTCTTGAACTTTTCCATTTTTTTGTCTGTATTTTCCATGAATTTGTCTATTTTCTCCTCATTTTTGCTTCAGCTCTTGAATAATTCTGAATATTAGAGATTTGAATTCCCTATCAGTTAGGTCTAGCGCCTTTTCTTCTACTGGAAAGTCATCTGGTATTTTATTTTGGACACCTACTGGAACCATCCTGTCCTGCTTTTGTGAATGTTTTGATATTGTCTGCTGTCTTCCGGGCATTCAGTGGTTATTTTCCTCATTTACTGACTGTAGATTTGTTTCGTCTTGCTTTTTTATCTGGTTATGTCTGAGCAGGCGGGCTGTGCGTTCTGTGTTGTTTGTTCATCTGTGGCCACGATACTTTTCACCTCCTTCTCCAACGGGCACAGTCAGTCACTCAGGTATGATACAGGAGGGCAGGTCCAGCAAAAGGGGAGTTGCTGGGATGGGTTGTTTGTGGCACGTACCAGGGCTGACAGTGCGGACCGGGAACAGTGGAGGCCAGGTTCTAGTAGGCCGTGCCTGTGCTGCTTGGGAGTGTGATGTTCAGTGCATGGTGCAGGCAGGCAGGAAGGAGGGGTAGATTGTGATGTGTGGAGCTAAGACGGGTATGGGAAAGAGGAGAGAGAAGAGAGAGAAACAGGAACCAAAAACAAACAAAAATGAGTGCTAAGGAAGCTTCCTACTGGGGTGGAGATGAGAGACTGAGAAATGGGGAAAAACAAAAATAAAAAGAAAAAGGGTAAAAGAAAAAAATGGATAAATAGAGAAACTGGAAATGAAGAAAGACAAAAATGGGGAGTAAGAGAGAGAAGAAAACAAAATGAAAAAGCAAAAAAAAAACAACCCCAAAACCAAGAAACAAGAAAAAAGAAATGCACCCAGGGATGTCCCTGTGCGTCTGTGCAGAGTAAGGGAGTAGTTTCCAAGCCGCGCAGTACTGCCCGGCTAGAAGGGGTTCCCAAGCCAAGAAAAGAAAAAGAAAACAAACAAATCAAAACAGAATAAATCACAGCAAACAAACCAACAAAAAAGCCCTGGGGGTCCCACCAGCGTGGCGGCACGGGCCAGGAACAAGTCACAGTCGAGCGGTGTTTCGTAGCCTTTCAGAAGAAGCGAAGATGGCACAGGGAGCCAGGTATTTGAGAGAACGGAGGGAGAGGTGGTGAGAGGTAAGGAAGAAATCTAAAGAAACGGAAAAAAGCAACACCAGCAGCCAACAAAAGGCACTCAAGGAGCCGGCCAGTGCGGGTGGGTGGAATCCAAGTGACACCAGGGTGAAGCTGGTGCTTCCTGGCCAAGAAACTGTGGCTGCAGGAAGCAAAGGAAGCTAAGTTGGGGTGAAGGGGGGTGGGGGGTGGGAAAGCATATATTGCTGGTTACTGGTTGTTCTGTCTCCTGCTGGAAGCTCCGTGAAGCTGCTTTCTCATACTCCTTGTTCGCTGATCTCCAACAGGAGTCCAAGGTGGAGGATCCATGCTGTGGTGGCTGAAAGGGGACCTCTGCATGTATCTCTCCTCGCTCTCTGATCTTGGTCCGTTTCTTATTCCATTCAGTGCTTGGCTGAGTTCTTTAACCCTTCATTTGATGCTTAGGGTTTCAGGACTGATGTGTGACTCTGCTTTACTTAGTTTTTCTGATCTTTGCTGCGGAGGTACAGCGTGGTGCTTCTGACTATAGCGCCATATTGTCTAGAAGTCAGCACTTGTTTTTTTTTTTTTTTAAATATTTTAAATTTTATGTATTTGTGTTCCCTTTTTCCCTTGAGCAGGCTAGTCAATTTACTTTACAAAACCCATTCCCCACAAAAGACCAACTTTTGAATATACAAGGTTTTTTTTTTTTTTTTTTTCAGTTTAAAAAAAATTAAAAAATTTTCTCTTTGTATCTTCTTCCACCTTCTTTGCCTCTCTAATTTCTTTTGTTAGATGCTTATTTTTTTTTTATGTTTCATATTTTTGTGTTTAAGGCTATACATTTTTCCTTTGAGTAAAACTTTTACTGTCACTACTTTTTAAGCTATTCTGTCATCATTTTTTTAAACTCTACTTGCTTTTAAGTGTCCTAAAATTTTCAATTAGGTGGTTTGTTGTTTGCGATAAAAATTAAAAAAACAAACAACAACAAAAAAGTCCCTGAATATTATCTGTTTCCTCTCTCTAAATGGTTTTCATAATGTACTGAGGTTTTTTGGCTTAATATGATCAATTTTTTAAAATACTACAGACAGTTAAAATGAACTTTGCCAGGGTATGCTGTTGTTAGGTGCCATCGAGTTGGTTCGGACTCACAGCGACCCTATGTACAAGAGAACGAAACACTGGCCGGTCCTGGGCCATCCTCACAATTGTTACTATGTTTGAGCCCACTGTTGCAGCTACTACTGTGTCAATCTATCTTGTTGAGGGTCTTCCTCTTTTTCCGCAGACCCTCTACTTTACCAAGCATGATCTCCTTCTCTAGGGACTGATCCCTCCAGATAATACGTCCAAAGCACGTTAGACAAAGTTTCACCATCCTCACTTCTAAGGAGCATTCTGACTGTACTGATTCCAAGACAGATTTATTGGTTCTTCTGGCAGTTCTTGTAGAGTCAATATTCTTTGCCAACACCATAATCCAAAGGCATCAATTTTTCTCCAGTCTTCCTTATTCATTGTCCAGCTTTTGCATGCGTTTATGAGGTAACTGAAAATACCATGGCTTAGGTCAGGTTCATCATAGTCCTCAAAGTAACACTTCAAAGAGGTCTTCTGCAGCAGATTTGCCCAAAGAATAAGTCTTTTCATTTCTTCACTGCTGGTTCCATGGGCGTTCATTGTAGGGTCAAGTAAAATGAAATCCTTGACAACTTCAATATTTTCTCCATTTATCATGATGTTGCCTATTGATTCAGTTGTGAAAACTTGTTTTCTTTTTGCTGATGTGTAATTCATACTGAAGTTTTTGATCTTCATCATTAAGTGCTTCAAGCCCTCTTGGCTTTCAGCGAGCAAGACTGTGTCATCTGCGTATCACAGGTTCTTAATTAGTCTTCCTCCAATCCTGATACCACATTCTTCTTCATATAGTCTGGTTTCTCAGATTATTTTCTCAGCATACAGACTGAATAAGTATGGTGAAATGATACAACCCTAACACACACTTTTTCTGACTTTAAACCATGCAGTATCCCCTTGTTCTGTTAGAACGACTATCTCTTGATCTATGTACAGGTACCTCATGAGCACAATTAAGTGTTGTGTAATTCCCGTTCTTCTCAATGTTGTCTGTAATTTGTTTATCATCTACAAAGCCTTTGCATAGTCAATAAAACACAGGTAAACAGCTTTCTGGTACTCTCTGCTTTCAGCCAAGATCCACCTGACATTAGCAATGGCATCCCTTGTTCCAGGTCCTCTTCTGAATCTGGCTTTAGTTTCTGGCAGTTCCCTATTGATGTACTGTTGCAACTCTTTGAATTATCTTCAGCAAAATTTTACTTGCGTGTGATATTAACGATGTTGTTTGATAATTTTCACATCCTGTTAGATCATCTTTCTTTGGAATGGGCACAAAGATTGCATAAATGCCTGATAATGCCAGGGTATACCTGTTGCTGTTGAGTCGATTCTGACTCATAGCGACCCTATAGGACAGAGAACTGCCCCCAGAGTTTCCAAGGAGCACCTGGTGGATTCAAACTGCCGACCTTCTGGTTAGCAACTATAGCTCTTAACCACTATGCTGCCAGGGTTTCCTTGCCAGGGTACAGTGTGTGATAATTATTAATCACATAGTCTACTACATCCTTACTTATTTTGGTCTTCTTACTGTTTCAGATGGAGCCCTGGTGGTACAATGGTTAAGCGCTCAGCTGCTAACCAAAAGGTTGGCAGTTTGAACCCACCGGTGGCTCTGCAGGAGAAAAGACCTGGCCATCTGCTCCCGTAAAGATCACAGCCTAGGAAAACCTATGGAGCAGTTCTACTGTCCTACAGGGTCGCTATGAGTCAGCATCAACTCAAGGGCACAGAACAACTGTTTCAGCTATTAGGCGTGAATTTTTTAAAACTCTCATTAGTATTATGACTGCTAATCTAATATTAACCAATATTAAAAAAAAAAACTAAGTATAAAAATATTTTATACCTATGTAACACTTCGCTCTTCAGAATTTCAGAACTAAGCAATGTCAACTTCAGCAAAAATATTCAGACTATTAAATACAGAAAGATATGTGCACATGGTTACATAATTAAATATTCCCACCATTTATGAATGTCAAGAATATTTAATTTTTTCATACTAAACACAGAAGACACTTAAATTCTAAAAAGTCAACACTTACAAGTTATTTAACTGTATCAACTACATTCCTTGACAATACAAACCAAGTTATTTGTACACCTGAACAATGATTAAAAAAAAATTTTTTGTCTGTTTATTTATAATAAAATGGTACTTGTAATACTTTCTAAAAGTTTAAGAAATTTACTGTACATTTACATTCTCAGGTTAAAAAAAAGGGGGTGGGGCGGATGGGAGGTCTAGACACAGGTAAAGGAATGGTATGAAACCCTCCCAGACTTCAGATTTAAAACTTTCCCTCTAGTTTAATCATACACATGTGAATAAGTCCTTAATTTAGGGCAGAAAGCAGAGTAGTGTGCAGAATATTCTTCTGTGGCAAGCAAGGGAGTTTAGAATTTAGCATGTTTATACTGCGAATGTGGCTAAATTTCTTTGCTAAACTGATGTCTATATTTAAGTTCTCTAACATGGTTGATAAGTCTTTGATTTATTGTAAAATTTATTTAACTTTATTCTTGTTACCTAAACATTCACTATATCTCAACATTAGGAAAGTCACTTTCAAGCAACTGCAAGTGTCAAACTTTTGTGACATAAACAGTGATAAAGTTTAAATATTCGCTGTAACTTACAGCCACAAGAATAAGCAAGACCCAGATGTGACCCAAGCACAAAGGTCTGGGGAGAAAGTGACTGTAACTCTCAAAGGATTCAAGCTCCCACAGTCAGCAGGTCTGAGTTAGAATTCAGAACAAGACCAGCTTGGGTTCTAGTCTTAGTTATGGAACTATCCTGCTCCTATTATAAATATAAAGCAATATCTATGATTTAAAAAATCCATTTATCTGGGCTTATTTTTATTCACCAAATGAGAAATCAGAAGAGTCAACTCTGTTTAAAGACAACAACTTGTAGTCTTTCCTTTAAATGTGCTAACGGTGATTGCACTCCCGAAACGCCTCACCTGAGACCTTGAACCACTATGGGACCTGACCAGTTCTAGCACCTTCTGGTTTTCATGGAAAACTTTCAAAGCAAGGGTGGAAGAGGCTCAAACTAGAAAGCCACTCGCTACACATTTACCTCACAGCCTTGTTTCACAGCTTACAGGTAGGGAAACGGAAGGAGTCAAGACCAGATGGGTAGAACTGCAAGGAGCAAAATAAAGGTTATGCCGAAAGCGTAAAAACAGATGAGGCATTTATTTACATGCTCCATTTAGGTATGCTTAACGCCAAATATTGGACACAGAGTTTTACAATGAACACCACCCGCGCCCCCAGCCCTGTACAACTGAGTTTCCTATAACGCGATGCAACATGGTGTCTCAAAAAAAAGCAGTGCCAGGCTATGTGACTGAACTTACCCCTCTGCAGACGTCCATTTCCCCAATCCGTGAACAGGGCGGGGGACAAGACCACGGACGCCCCTTCCCTCAACACACTGAGGGGTTCCCGAGATAAGGAGGCCAGCATTCCAGCCTCCTAGGAAAAAAGGTGCCCTACACCACTGCTCCCATCGCGCGTCGACCGTGGGCACAGGCAAAGCCCGGCCCCTCCCCGCCCTGCGGTCTTAGCGCGCCAAGGAGGTGCCTCCCCGGCCCGGGGCGCGCCCGAGTGAACGCACTCCCTCATCGCCAGCCCAGTCCCTCAGCCCCCGAGGGTAGGGGACTGCGGGGTAAGGCCGCTCGGGCAGCCGGATGGCGCCCCTCGACCCCCGAAGCCCCCCGGCAGGGAGAGAGCCGTAAACCGAGAAGGGAGGAAATGCCTCCACTCGCGCCGTCCCGGGAGGGATCAACGGAGGGTCCGCGACCGCTGGGGCTGGGAGAGGTGGCTCGCACCGGCGCGCGGGAGCTCCAGGGCGCGTCTGGGGGTGCAGTGCGCGCGCGCGGAGAGGGGCCGCGCCGGAGGGCCGATAGCAGGCGGCCTTTCAGACCTTTCTTCATGCTTCCACTCTCTCCAACCCAGAGGCGTTTGCCTCACGCCTTCAACCAGCACTCACCCATGACCGCGGGCGTCCCTGCTCCACGCCTGGCAGCCGCCCGCCCGCAGGTCGGCGAGCGAGCGAGCCCGCGAGCCAGCGCCCGCGCAGGCGCAGACCTTGACTCACCCAAACTGGCAGACGTAGCTTGACGCGCCCGAACGTTGTTTGGAAGGCGGCGGCCGCCCCAGGGGGATCACGTGAGGGAGACGCCGCCCCGCCTCCTCCCCTAAATCAGCGGAGAGTCAGGTGACGCGGGCCAACTGCTCGTGGCTGCCGTTCGCCAGGGAAGGGCAGGTAAATGGTGAAACCATCACACCTGTCGTAAGGCACTGGGACTCCGCAAGCCAGAATACCGTAGCCGTCATGCCGTGGTGCCTTAAGAGTCGGAATCGACTCGACGGCAACCGGTTTTGGTGCCTTACGGTGGCCTCACGGTGCCAGAAACAGTCAACGCCTTATCTGGCGTACTGCAGGAGGGGATATGGCAATTTTCAGTTGGTAGATGGCGGCTGAAGGTGGCACTGAAGATTTGCAGGTGCTCCCCGCCTGACTCCCCCGTGCTGCTTCCGTACCAGTAAACCAGTTGCTTGGCGACCCATGTGCGACAGAATAAAACCGTGTTCCATAGCGTTTTCAAATGGCTTTTCAGAAGTAGAGAGCCAGGCCTTCCTTCCAGGCGACTTGAACTTCCAGCTTTTCAGTTAGACGCTGAGCGTGATAACCGTTTGCACTACCCAGGGACTCCCAGCCTTGGTTGGGTTTCCTCAAACCTTTGGAAGTGGTTTTTTATTAACTACCAGTACCGCAGCTCATGGAGCCCTGGTGGCGCAGTGATTAAGAGCTACAGCTGCTAATCAAAAGGTCAGCAGTTCAAATCCACCAGTTCTCTTTGGACACTCCATAGGTCAGTTCTACCCTGCTCTATAGGATTGCTCTGTGTTGGAATTGACTCGTCAGCGCACAATAGCTGCAGCTCACAGAGGAATCCCTTGTGAGTGCTCTAGGACTTACAAATCACTTTGAAACCCTCTTCCCTTTGAATCTCAAGACAACCGGAGGAGTCTGGAAGGAACACTGGACAGGGAGTTCAGGAGTCTTGGGTCCTTCCTGGGAGTGACGTTGGACTAGTCACTGGTCTCAGAGCACCAGATCCCTGTTTGAAAAGTAACTCCTTCTTTGCTTGCATCCTAAGGTGTTGTAAGAATTACTGCAGATAATTTGTAGACTGGAACTCACACAACAGATGTGAGGGATTGAAGGATACAGGGAAGGCCTGGTGAAGAGAGGCTCTTCAGGAGGCTCCTCAAATCTGTTGACCATGTGCTCTTTTCTTGGGGTTAGTCCAGTAACTGCAGTGGAGTGAAGCCTTAGTGAGGGATTCCAGGGATCGCCTCTAGGTGGTGCTCACTTCCCCTCAAAAGCACTTTGTAGATACTGACTTCAGAAGCGTGTTCTGCCTAACCCTGCGTTAGCTGGTGTGTTTAATTGCTTCTTGGGATGTTGGGGACTACACCTCTGTTTCAGCAAACACTCTGCTGAGGTACCTGTTGTGTGCCATGTCCGTGTCTAAGCTCCCTGGGGGAGCTTAGAGTCTAATAAAGGATATAAAAACAAAAGACTATGGAAATTCAGAAGCATGAGGGACCTTTCCTCTTGAGAGACTCAGGGATGGCGTCAGAGAAGGTGTTTGAACTGGGCCTTGGAGCATGAAGGAGTGAAATTTGGACCAGTGGAGAAAGTCATAGTGGCAGAGATAAGATGGTAAAGGTCAGGTGGCGGGGCCTGATAGTGCAAATCTTGACTGTCAGAAGCAGTTACCTGGTGTCTAATCAGTGTAAGAGGGATAGATGTGGGCTCCACAAGACAATGACAAGGCCTTACTATGGTTTAGAAGGATTAATTGGGCAACAGTTGGGGGACAGGGCATTTACCTCAAAATTATATTTGCCTTGTCTTGTGTGTATTCCTATTCAGATGTATTATTCGAAAAACAAATAACCCAGGCAGGCATCCAGCATGTTCATAAGCATAAATAATTAATGTCAGGTTAGAATGGAGAGGTAATTCTCCTGTGGTAAAACCTGAAGAGGAGAAAAAGATTGAAATTAAACACTCAGTTGGGACATAACAGACACAAAAGATAATGAGAAAATTCCAGGCCGACAGAACACTTGTTTCTGGAACTAGGCCAGTCAGTTCCTCTTATGCCGCAGGCCACAGCAATAGGCTCTGAGCTACATGTCAAGACCCCCCAGGTCCTTAATTGGCTCTTCATGGGCATATGAATGTTGGAGCTCAGAACCCTTTATTTTGATTCAGAATTCATCATTAAGTCAGCATTTCATTTCTCTGCCCTCATTCATTCATTCATTATTCAGTCTGCTCTTCATACCTCCAGCCTTCATAACAGCTGTCAGCTGAACATCCTCTAACCCAGCTCTGATCGTATCGCTTGTCAGCTTATAAACCTCTTGCCTTCCCAATAAATCCAAACTCCTTAGCATGGCCCACGGGGCTGGCTGTGTCCTGGCCCCTCTGCCTACCTGCCCACCTTCATCTCCCGGTACTTTCTTCAGCCATGTGCAGTCTCTCTCAGTGTTGTGCAAATCCTTGTATTCCTTAAACCTGTTTCCCCCTTTTACCATCAAATCTTCATCAGTCAAACATGTTAGTCCTTGGAGACCCCATTGCTGCCTCTTTCAAAAAGCCTTCCCTGACGACTCCAGGCAAAATTGATTGCCCTTGCCTCTGCCCCTCCCATGGCACTAGTGGGGAGCACTTCTGGCATTCTGCGCTATGTTACGGTCACCCATGAGGGTGTCTTTCATCCCCACTGCCAGCTCGCGCAAGGGCAGGGCTGTCTGACTCCGGCTCTCCAACCCAGTGCTTGGCAGAAAGGATGCTTAGGAGCTGTTCATGGAAATTGAAAGTGCTGGTGGAGAGCAGAGCCTTTAAATGGGAGGGTGTGGATACTTGGAAAAAGGAATATGGGAGTGTTGCCGATGGATCTTTGCTTACGCGCCCTGCACTCCACCCCAAAATACTTTCTAGAAAGTTGTCCACCCACCCTGTGTTCACAAAAACAGCCTTATGCATGCTGTCAGTGGAGTCTTAGCTACTGTGAGTGGCTCTGCCCAGATGAGGTCACCTGTGGTCATCCCCTAACAAGGGGTCAGTGACCTTCCTCTCTCTTCAGCTCACATTTCTCAGGCCCTTGCAATCTTCTGGGCCTGTCTCTGCCACTCCCCTTCACGCCCCCAGGCCGTAGCCACACAGCTAGTCTTCGAGTGCCCTTGTCTGGACTTGCTGTGTCCTTTTACACACCCCCAAACTGCATAAGTTTTGTCCTCTGTGCCTAGAAGGCCCAGCCTGGTTCATGACAAAGTCCTCTTCATCCTTCACTGCTCAGCTCAAACAGAAGCTTCTCCTCCCCCTTGCCCTGAACCAGACCTTGACCCTACCACCTCTATGCTGCAGAGCCCCACCTGAGCTGCCAAGCCCAGCCACTCCTCTCCCCCAAGGAGTCCTTTACCTGGGTTCAGCCTGTCTATCCCCCTGGCTAGTTTGTGAACTTCAGAACATGGTCTGTTTCTTCTTCACTCATTTCCAAACCCACATTGACCTAACAGCTCACATGTGTTTGCATATATGACACATATAACCCAGACAAAGGTTTTATCCTACAAGCCCGTGTAATTGTCTATTCTGTTCATTTATTATTTTAATACTGGTGGGGCCCCACTCAATCAGTGATTCTCAGCCCTGTTTCCCATTAGAATCAGCAGGGGAGCTTTAAGAACAAAAAACCCTAGACCTGGTCCTGTCCTCAGAGATTGTGATTTAATTGGAGTGCAGTGATTCTTGGACCTTAGTATGTTTTGAAAGCTCCCTGAGTGCGCTGAGATTGAGAACAATAGCACTAAATTCTTGCTTCCCAAATGTGCTGAAGATAAGAACCACATGAACTTGGCCAGCTGTGTGTGGTCCATAGACCTGCTGCATCGGCATCACCTGGGAGCTTGTTAGAAATGCAGAATTCTGGCCTGCCCCAGACCTGCTGAATCAGGCTCTATCTGTATTTAACAAAATCACCGGGTGATCTGTATGCACGTTATAGCTTGAAAAGCATTGACTTAGATTCTAGGTTCTAGGAGGTTGGTGTGGTGCAGTGAATTAATATGGCCCTTCTAGCCATAGTCTTTGTAACTCCCACCAAATGACTGGGTGAGGCTATAGAAATGAGGTGCTTGTGGCCCACCAACGGGCTTGGGTAGCTTGCTAATAATGTAAAGAAGGTGCATGGCACCCCTGTAGGGGTGGAACCATGCAAATAGGGTATATGGAACCTGTGATGGTTAAGGTTGTGTGTCAGCTTGGCTGGGCCATGATTCTCAGTAGTTTGGCAGTTATGATGTAGTTTGGCAGTTGTATGATGATGTGATCACCTGCGTGTTGGGATCTGCTGTGAGTAGCTAGTTGGTTGAAAGGGAGTTTCCTTGAGGGTGTGGCCTGCATCCAATATAGGTAGACTCTCCAGCGAGGCTTGCAGGCTTTTGCTCACTCTGGATCCTGCAGCTGTCTTCTGTTTGTCTGACTTCTGGTTGTTTGGACTTGAGCTAGCAGCTTACCTGCTGTCTTTCCTGCTGATGTTGGGATTCATAGGTCTTCACAGCCTGTGAGCCAGAACCCTGTTGTCTGACCTGCCAATCTTGAGTTCGCTAGCCCTTGTGGCTACGTGAATCAGGAGAAGCCTCCAGACAGACCCAGGGACTTGGGACATTCCAGCCTCTACAACTATGTGAGTCATTTCCTTGATATAAATCTCTCTCTGTATATATTTATACACTTTACTGGTTTTGTTTCTCTAGAGAACCCAGCCTAAGACAGAACCTTAATGAGGGGATTGGTTAGTTTTGCCATCCCACTAGGCTTAAAGAGAGAGAGATAAAAGTAGGAGCTGTAACATCGGAGACAACAAGAAGCAGCAGTAGAGAAATAGTAGCAGAAGAACCAGGAGATTGGCAGGAGATGGCGCAGTGGGCTTCTTGGCCTACAGAGTGAGAAAGCTGAGTTCCTTCGGGTGAGAAGCTTGCTGGCAGTAGGTTGCCTCTGGGCACTTGGTCGAGCTAGGTTTGCTGTCCCACGGAGCTAGAGCTGAG